GTGCAAAGGCAGGCGGTGACGACACACCCAGCCGACCACTCTCCCATTCCCGGTTACACCTAGTCGTGCGACCGTCTCCACGTCGAGCGTCCCGGTCTCGACACGCGTACTCCTCCCACGCCGAGTACGCGATACCACGGTCTCATCTACATCTCAGTCTCCTCTCACCACCGCACTATCGCCCGCAGCGTCGGACAGCGGTCGCGCGTCGCCTGGTTCGCCTTGTCCGTGTCTGCCCCGTCAGTCGCTTCGGCGTCTGGCGTCTCGCTTCAGTCTGGCGGATCGCGCAAGGGCAAGGAACGTGCAGACCCATCCGTACCCGTCCAGATCCGGAACCAGACACGGAGGTCGACGAGACGGACGCGCGCGGCGAGGTGTCAGCGCCGTCAACGGGAGACTGCGCAGAGGACTGCGAGAGCTCGTTCAGAGGGATACCGACCAAGGGCATTTCCGTGCAGCGAGCAGCAGAGGTGAGTTGCGTAGCACATACATACTGACTCGGCTCAGACGTGCATACCCTCTCAAGCGTCCAGGACCGCTCCTTCTCGCCAAGGAGATACTATGGCTGACGAACGCTGGCAAGCAGTGCTGGCAATGTGTGGGTCATTGTTCGAGGTTGTGCTCACCCAATACAGAACATCCCGACGATGACTCCATGACCAACATGATGTGTAGCGCAGGCGCTCATATCTATCTTTGCAGAAGACGATGACCGACCACGTTCCGTCCTCCGCGGCCAGACCCAGATCACATTCGTGCTCAACCTCAGCTCTACCTCTTCGCCGTCAGCGACTGGGGTGAGCCAGAGTATGTGGTGAGTAGCTTTCTCCATTCCCTTACAAGCAGCAACTGACAGTTCACAGCTGCGCATGCACCTAGAATACATCTACCTCCAGATCCTCTCAGTTGTGACCGCTACTCAGATCTCACGCGCATTCCAACGACGCAGCAACTTTGACCTGTCGAGGCTACTCGAAGGTAAGCTGGATGCTCGTAGCCCTTCAGCTGACATCAGGCTCTGATCCATTCCTACACAAATTGTGGCTCAGTGTCAGCACGACCTGAGTTTCTTCACCACCACACTGCAGCCGCTCCGTATGGCACCAGCTTTGAGGGATACCGCGGCCTCGGCGTTGATGCCTCCCGCCAAGTTCAAGGTGAGATCACAGTCCCCGTTTGCACTGCTGACCTGACAGACCTACTTTACGTTCTACTTATTGCTGCGGCCACATTGTCACGCTCCTCCGACCACGACGACACGCCGTCCACCCGTCCGACATGCATCTCCTCCTCAACACGCTGGCGACGTCGGCAACCCTGCGCTCCGTGGAGACATGCTACCAATCTGCCTACCAAAGTTCAACCCGGCGGGCTTTGTCCACGCTTACATTTCGTTTGTGCGCGAGGACGTTGGTTTGGTCTTCATCAGCGCAGACAGGGACGCATTCGAGCCCCTGTGCGGTTGGCGCGAGTCGGTCGTCGAGCAGTTGACCAAGGACGGCGCGCTCGACCGGATCCAGGCCAGCGTCAAGGCGCACCCATACAGCGTGGCAGCTGTCGGTTCGCCTGGCCTGCGACACTTTGTGTACAAGTCTCGCGGACTGACTCAGCTCACCGCACCAGAGTGGGAAGACCCTTACGGACCCGACAGCGCGGACAGGAAACGGCTTGTTACGTTGTACGAGCGCGTACAAGACACATTGTTTGCGCGGTCAGGCCAGGCAGCCCCGCTCAAGCTGGTGTACATGGCCAACGCGCACGAGGCTGTGCTCGGATGGCTCACAAAGCCGTTTGAGCTGTACATTGCCGTCTCGCCACACCTCCCCATGAATGCCGTCGTCAGCACCGCCAACCGCGTCGCCAAGTGGGTTAATGCCGAGGAAGGGAAGGTGTTCCTCAAGACGCGCCGGTGTTTTAGACGAGTCAATGCAATGCGGTGGTCACTCTGTAGCACAGGTGTACCAGTGACAAGGGCTTACATCTGAGGGCAAGTACTCACGACATATGACTGCAGCTCAACGGAATAGTCGCTGAACACGTCAACAACTGACACTATGCCACACCCTCGGCACCGGGTGTGTCCTCGGCCACCGGGCCATGACATCGCGTGGTCGCTGTTGACTGCCCCACATGCTTTCAAACGGAAAGCTGTACAAGGTTGATCAAGGAGAGGAGGCGGTGGTACCACAGATTGCCTGCAAGACATGGCCGCCCGAGCTGCCTTCCGCCACATCATCTTTGCGGCCACCAGAAGCAAGCCCACCTTTTCAGTTGGGGCAGACGCTAGACCCGCCTCTCTCCAGAGTGGAGGCCCCAGCACACACATACCGATGTAACCCGAGCAAGTCGGCGTCGTCCATCATCTGCATTGGCTTTTGCGTCGTGTCGTCGCATTGGAACGAGACTGCGTCACCGCAAGTCCGAGCGCGGAGTCCCCGCGTGCTGCGAAACAGGGCGTCGATCAAGGCTGTACATTGTCACGGTCGACGCATGTGTGCACGCCGGTGCGAGGATACTTTGCGGACGTATGTTCGCGTTTCCAATGTCTACAAACACGAGGACATGGCCACGATCAGTAGCGCTCTCTGTCGGCAAGCTCGGCAAAGGGCCGGGTTTACCGTTGTTTCGTGTCGGTACTGCTTCGTTCTTCTCTTGTTCTCCATGGTTTGCGCTTGACTAGCAATATGTCGATCACCCTCGAACCTGTTCAAGGGCCACTAACAATGCATCCCTACGTCGCTACGTCAGTAAACCGCGGGCCGCAGGGGACGCAGGTCATATTCCCCAAATCATGCCAGTCATCTGCTGGCAATAGTCCCGCGTCCAAATGTTGCTCTTGTCGACGTCGGCAACAGTTTTGCTGTGCTCATGGCGTTGCAAGGACAATTGATTTGCCTGTAGCGGCGCACTTGGGCTTCCTTTATGCGACCGTTACATACCAGCATGTAGAGGCATTAGGCCCCTGTTTGGGAACAGCAAAAAGCCACACTTGTTGCTAACATCATGGCTGATGACTGTGCTGTTGCTTTACATGACGCTGCTATCCTTGGCCCACACATTAACGGAACTGATTCACCCCGAACCGACAGCAGGACGACGCAGGCATTTAGTTAGACAGTGCTCCCCCGTCACCGCCTCACTGCTTCTCACGGCCATGCGGTTGACTGGACTAAGAGTGATGGACGCCGAATCCAAAAAACAAAGCGCGGAGCTTCATCGGCGGGGAGTACGGCCCGCGGACAGGTCCACCACCGTCCACCTGCCCTAGCTGACGGCAGGAGGTGCCATGGTTCACGCGCCAGAATTGGTGATGAGGTACCCAAACCGTGAAATATTGGACCTTGTCCGTCGGATCAGTGAGCTTTGGGTGCGAGGCACCAGCCAAGACATTCTCTGCCAACATTACCGAACCCTACTATTTGCCGTCTCCAGCGTCATCAGCAACACCCGAACCTTCCAAGCAATAGCAAAGGCGGTGGAACAAGGCTCGCCGCATCCTTCTCTTTCCGCTTCCAAGGTGAGTGGCTCAAAGTATGCGGAAGCAGGGCGCGCGTGGAGCGTCGGGGTACCGACATCAGCACAGCCTTTGGGGTTGGGGGTTGGGGGCCTTCTGCCGAGAGACCGAGAGGTGGTGGCGCGGAACACATCGGGTCAGCTGACGCGTGACGAACAAGCATATCGAGGGTGGCAGGTTGAGCGCTCAACTTTCCAGTCAAACACAAGATCCATATGCCAAGCACCGCGGATGGAACGGCCAGGTCCTGCTTGTCGCCACACCCCTGGACAAAGAATCGACGCTACAATCCGCAGCAGTCAGAAGCCGCGACCTGGCTGAACCTCTGTTCTGCTGCGTTCCATACGGTTCACAAATCACAGATCTGATCCGATCCACGTATACCGGTGTGTCGGCCATATCCCTCGTTGCCGGGGACTGTCCAACATTGTTGCTCGCAAACGCGTCTCTGGCGCACAACCTCACCCACAACCTCACCCACTGACGTAGGTGTCGTAAACATTTCTGTACTAGCGAGTTCGGGTGGCATCTCGGACCTGATGTTTGCTGGGATCAGATTCATAGCCTTGAGGAGGCTGGACAGCAGCAGCAGCAGCAGCAGCAGCAGCGGTCCCAACTGGGTTCCAGGTCGGCAATCTGGCCGGTAAAGGTTTCACCGTATGGGGCATGTGTGTGACCCGACCCACACCTTGTCGCGGAAGCTCGACATCTTGACACGGCCAAGGAGAAAGCAGTTTAGGCATCGAGCGGAAGGAATCGACGGTGAGGGTCCATCAAAGCATATGTGTGGCGCTCCATGCGCATATGCCCGTCGGCGTGGGCGTCGTACCGCGACAGTGCCATTACGAAAGAACCTTGCGATAATCAGAACAAGGGATCCAGTCCAAGCCGAGAGGCAGTGCCGTTCATCGCGAGGCAGTGTTGCCGGCCAACGCCATGGTAAGGGACACTGACAACGTTGGCCTTGGGCCAATACCTCATGCTCGCTGTTGATCCTTGTGCCCACATTGCGTCGACGTCGCTAGGAGCGCAGGGGTGACCATCGGCTCCATCTCCGCAAACTGTCCTCCGCGTCCAGAATATGCGCAGCCCACCGCGACGACGTAGCCTTCGTCACGGAGATCAGCATTGTCGCATCTCTGTTCGGGACCCATGGGGCCTGTGGGAGCAGCAGACGCATGACTGAAGCTGACCAAGTGATACTGACGTTCTTGGCTTCCTTGCTCACGGTGATCGTGTGGCAACCCGGCCATGCCTGAGACAAACAGCATAAATAGCAAGCGTCTGTGGAGCCTTCTTCCTCATCTCCAGTCTCTCCTTCTCTCCTAGATCACCAGTAGCAACACTCGACGACACCCCACCCACACAACAACCACAACCACACCATGTTCTCCAAGCTTGCCATCTTCGCCCTCCTTGCCGGCCTCGTTGCTGCTGCCGACTGCGAGCCGACCACCACGTCTCCTCCTCCCACCACGAGCACTACTCCTCCTCCTCCTCCTTCTGGCGTCGCCCTCCACCCCAACACTGCCAGCACCAAGTGCCTCGATGTCCAGGGTGCTGTCTTCGCGAACGGTACCCCCGTCCAGGTGTGAGTGCCAGACTCGCCATGTTTGCTGTGTGGCACGGTTACTGACAAGATTCGCAGTTACGACTGCAACGGAACCGGTGCCCAGAAGTGGGTCATCAACCGTGGCAACGGCCAGGTCAAGGTCGCCGGCACCAACTTCTGCCTCGACGCCGCAGCAGCCCCGCCGACGGCACCAAGATGAAGATCTGGCAGTGCTACGACGGCCTCGCTGCTCAGCAGTGGTACTGGACTGGCGACAACCGCATCGCCCTCACCAACCAGGGCTTCTGCCTCGACAACACTGGCGGCTCGACCTCCAACGGCAACCCCGTCCAGATCTGTCGTGCGGTACTGGCAACAACAACCAGGTCTGGACCGCCGTCACCCCCAAGCGCCGCGCCGTTCGCTACTCGTCGTCCGAGGAGTAAACGACCTCGCTCCCCCCCCTCTCACGCTTCCTCTCCCTCGCCAAGGACGACAGCGTATGGACACTTCTGGATCTCCGATCCATGGACAATGATGCCCTATAGTTGAAGATGATGAAGTAGTCAGTAGTTTTGATGATGTTAACGCCACTTTTGGCAACACTTCTCCGTTGAGCATTCATCATTCCATACACATGTTTCAACTGACAACCTTTGCGTAAGTGTACATGTACGACGTTCATCTTACAGGGCAGCAAGCACCTTGGCCTGGTCCTTCTTGTTCCAGATGTCCTTGTACTTGTCCACAGCGTGGCTCTCGCACTCGACATCCGCCATAGGGTGGAAGCGGCACGGGTCGAGAGCCGCACGGAGCCACTCGTCCGCCTCGGGCGCGTCCTCGCCACGGATGTCGGCAACGATCAGATCCGCAAGGACACGCATACTGCCGGCAGCGTGTGACCCAGCACCAATGGCAGCGTACATGCCCAAATTGATGCGGCCCACAAGGGGCAGTCCGTCGGGCGTGATTGTGAACACGCCGGTGAAGCCGTATGGGACATTGCCGGCTGCCAGCATGGTGAGCTCGGCGGGCTGTGCGTCCACACGGCCGGCAAACGTAGCAGCCGTGGACGGCGGGAGAAGTCGGATCGCGTCGTCCATCGTGTGTGTGAACTGGGGCTGGAACGGGGTGTACGCAGTGGGGAGAACCTTGGTGGCAGCGGTACGGACGACAACCGGGTCGTGGTTGTAGCTGCCGATACCGATGCGGTCGCCGTGGTCGCGGACGTACATGACAGCGTCGGGGAAGCGAGCAAAGGGGGCCATGCGAGTGCGAGGTGCGTGGCGGTTGGCAAACGCGTACGGGTGCGCAAAGGCCACAGCGCGAGAAGCGAGGCACGGACAGAGTTGGCCGGCCCAGACGCCAGTGGCGACCACCACACGGCGGGCAGTGTGCGCGTCGTCAGACGTCGTGATCGTGTATGTCTGACCAAGACGGTAATGCTGGTTACATTGCCGTCAACAAGTGTAGCGCCAGAAGCAGCCGCGAGGTCCTGGCGTGCCATGTCACCGTCTTGGCATTGGCCGTGCCGTCGTTGGGGTAGTAGATGGCACCAGTCGCGTCGTCGTGGACGAACGCAGGTGCGAGGCTCTGCGCCTCCTTCGTGGTGAGCACCGAATGCTCGAGCTTGCGCTCGCGAGCGACAGCCACGCGATCCTGAATCCAGTTCTTGCCATCGGCGCCACGCACGACCTCCAGACAACCGACGTTGTCGAACCCGTTTGGAATGGCGGTGTACGCTGCCACACTGCGCCGGGCCAGCTCGGTGAGGACAGGGAGTGTGTTGATCTGCGCAACAACGCGGGCGCGTGACCTGTAGAGCCTGGAAGGCCGCGAACGTCGCGGTCAATGAGAATGACACGGGCATGAGGAGCGAGGAGCGAGGCGAGCGTGCTGCCGCAATACCCGCGCCGACAATGGCAACGTCGTAGTCGGGGACAGTCATGGTTGGAAAGTGGACGAAACGACATTCTCAACGGGTTCCACTAGCCGTCTTTCATACTTGACAGCGACGGGGAACATCGGAACGAACCGTTGCCGTGCAGCAAGTGCACTGCTTCTGCTGCGGTGGTCAAAGATATCATGGGGAATGGGCGTTGGCTTATCATGTGATGGCCAGATCTCGCGGCTGACGAACTTTACCGAGATGACGTCGTGGGTATGTTTGATTGCTGGCAACCACAGGAACACTGCCCACCTTGTAATGTGTCTTCCCGGCAACATCTCCCGAGCAGCATGCATAGATGTTCTAGAATGAAAGGATCATAATCCTGGTCATCTCCTCGGCCTCCATGTCCTGTAAGGTTAGCGAGGCTGGAACGGCGTCCAAGTAACTCACAAATGCGAGATAGAGATTTTGCGATCGGCAAGCGCGTCATAAATTCCGTCACCGGCCTCCCCTACCTCCACGCCCAGCTCGGCAGCCACTCCAGACGTGTACCGACCTCCTCGAGCGCCTGTCCTTGAGCCCTGGTTGGAGACAATCCCTGCGAGAGGAGGCCAAACGTGGTATGCCGGTGCGGCTCCAGTCCCACGGA